ACTCAGTTTAGCCACCCCATAATAACCTTGTGTTGGGAGGCAGGGAGCAGTGTTTGAAAGTGTTTAAAACAGTGGGAGGGGGGTGGTGGGTTACTATTATTGGGGGGGAGGGGGTGCGGGCGGGGAGCATGCCCCTTACCAGCAGGCATTTCTTTTGTGGGATGAGGGTGCTGCCCAACTCTCACTGCCCTTCAACGCTGAGGGCAGTCAAAGAGCCAACCACACTGCTGTGGGCTTGGCGTCACATGTAGGCCAGACCGGGTAAGGATGGCAGATTTCCTTCCCTAAAGGGTATTTTAAAAAAATTCATTTGTGAGATTTGGGCATCGCTGCCTGGTCCAGCATTTATTGCCCGTCCCTAGTTGCCCTCTTGAGAAGGTGGCGGTGACCTGCCTTCTTGAACCGCTGCAGTCCACCTGCTGTGGGTTGACCCTTGGGGAGGGAATTGCAGGATTTTGACCCAGCCACACTAAAGGAACGGCGATATATTTCCAAGTCAGGGTGGTGAGTGACTTGGAGGGGACCTTGCAGGGGGTAGTGTTCCCATGTGTCTGACGCCCTTGTCTTTCTAGGTGGAAGTGGCCGTAGGTTTGGAAGGTGCTCTCTGAGGATCTTTGGTGAATTTCTGCAGGGCACCTTGTAGAGAGTACACACTGCTGCTACTGAGTGTTGGTATTGAACAAGACAGATTTTTACAGCTGATGACAGTAGTCAATGGTCATCATCCCTGAGACTACCTTTCAGCTCTCCTCTGACCCATAGCTTCTTTAAAACCTGGACCCACCTCCCTTCCTAAGGTTCCAAACCCCCTCCCACCAACACCCCAAGCGGCTGTGAAAAGTGATACATAAATACAAGTCCTCCTCTGTTTTTTTTAAGGACAAAAACTTAGAATGAATATTGCTCTGATGTCAAAACTTTAAATGATAGACTTTAGACTGAAGCAAAGACAGCTTTCATGTAAGATGTGAATGCAGGAAATGAAACAGAAGGACTCTACAATACAAAGGTATTTAAAGGTGCTGAGACAAGGAGGTAAGGACATTACCAAAGGGCAATGTGCGCTTTGAAATACAGAGCGGAAATAGTCTTAGTAACAAAAACAGAAATTGCTGGAGAAACTCAGCAGGTCTGGTAGCATTTGTGGAGAGAAAGCAAAGTTAATGTCTTCAGGTCCAGAACAGTTCTGAAGAAGGGTCACTGGACTCAAAATGTTGATTCTTAGTTCTCTCCAAAGATGCTGCCGGACCTACTGAGTTTTCCCAGGAATTTCTGTTTTTGTTTTTGATTTCCAGCATCCACAGTTCTTTCAGGTTTTTTTTTGAAATAGACTTAAGCTTGTTTGAGAGTTTAGTTAGGCTGCAATAAAAACAGAAGGTCCTGCTGAAACTCTGCAAATTCTAGCAGCATCGATGGAGTGAGACAGAGCGAGAAGGGATGGCACAGTGGCTCAGTGGTTAGTGCCAGGGACCTGAGTTCGATTCTGTTTGTCTGTGTCTGTCTGTAGGGGGTTTGCACATTCTCCCAGTGTCTGTGTGGGTTTCCTCCAGGTGCTCCGGTTTCCTCCCACAGTCCAAAGATGTGCAGGTTAGGGTGGATTGGCCATGGGTAATGCAGGGTTACAGGGTAGGGTGGGGGGAGGGTGAGCCTGGAAGCTCAAGCCTTGGTATGGACGTGCTGGGCCAAATGGCCTGTTTCCACTCTGGAGAGGCTCTATGTTAAAGGAAAACTCCGCAGTTTGAGTCCAATACAGCTCTTCTTCAGAACTGAAGAGAGAGGAGGAAAACATCTGGAAATGGAGCCAAAGAGATGAACAGTCAGTAAGTTAAAGGTTTTGGGAGATCAGAAGTTAAAGGTGCCACAGAAAGCAAAAGGAGTTGTCATAGCTGTAAAGGTGGGACATAGCATTGGCCCAGAGTTTGTGTTAATAGCATTAATAAGGTTGCAGTCAGAGATTCGTGAGATGGACAAGGTAAAAGGTACAGTCACAATGATATGGTCAGGGATGATAGGAAACATGAGAAGACTGGAAACTAGAGCTGAACAAAATGATTGGGCACCAACAAGAATCATATTGGACTTGGTTCATGGTGTGCAATGAACTTCCTGAGGAGACTGTGGGCACAGTCACAACGTTTAAAAGACATTTGGATAAGTACATGAATAGGAAAGGTTTGGAGCGGTATGGGCCAGGAGCAGGCAGGAGGGACTAGTTTAGTTTGGGATTATGTTCAGCATTGGCTGGTTGAGCCAAAGGGTCTGTTTCTGTGTTGTATGTCTCTATGACTGTCTCCATGGACATTAGCGAACCAGATGATCTTTTACAGGTGGCACAGTCACCATCACTGAGTCTAACTCTGAACTGGTGATTTATGCATTGAATTTAAATCCCACCAACTGCTTGGTGGCAAGAATAAGACCATGGAAATAGTGATCATAACACAACAGCACAAAATTTAGATAAATACACAGTGAATCAAAGTCCAGAAAAGCAAATCTTCAGCCAATGGCTGGCTAGAATTTATCTTCTCCAATTGCAGGAGAATTGATTCACATTTTAAACATGAATCTTTACCTGTTTATGGGCCGTAGATGTCACTATCCTAGATCTGCATTTGTTGTCCATTCTCAACTGAGTGGCTCACACAGCCATTTCAAAGGGCAGTTTAACAGTCACACACATTGCTCTGGGTCTGGAGTCACATGGCCTGATAAGGGGGTAGACTTCCTTCCCTTAAAGGTCACTGGTGAACCAGGTGGGTTTTTATGACCATGGACACATGGTCACCATGAGGCCAGCTTTAATCCCCGGTTTTACTGAATTCAAATTCCACCATTTGCCATGGTGGGATTCAAACCCACATTCCCACAATATTAACCTGAGGCTCTGGATTTCTGAAATAAAAGTAGAATATTGAAATAAAGACAGGAAGTGTTGGAGAAATCCTGCAGGTTTAGCAGCATCTCTTCAGAAGAAGTCATATCAGACTTCAAATGTTAACTCTGTGTGTGTTTGTGTGTGTCTGTGTCTCTGTGTGTGTGTGTGTGTGTGTGTGTGTATGCGTGTCTGTGTGTGCGTGTGTCTGTGTCTCTGTGTGTGTGTGTGTGTATGCGTGTCTGTGTGTGCGTGTGTGTGTCTGTGTCTCTGTGTGTGTGTGTGTGTGTGTGTATGCGCGTGTCTGTGTGTGCGTGTGTGTCTGTGTCTCTGTGTGTGTGTGTGTATGTGTGTGTCTGTGTGTGCGTGTGTGTGTCTGTGTCTCTCTGTGTGTGTGTGTGTGTGTGTATGCGTGTGTCTGTGTGTGCGTGTGTGTGTATATGTGTCTCTCTCTCTCCACAGACACAGCTAGCTGGGGATGGGTTACTAGTTCATAACTAGCTAGTAAATTTAAGGAGACAAAGCCTGAAGTAACACGACACCAGGTTATAGTCTAACAGGTTTATTTGAAATCACAAGTTTTCAGAGCGCTGGTCAGGTGATGACAGAGCAGCGCTCCGAAAGCTTTTGTTTTCAAATAAACCTGTTGGACCATAAACTGGTGTTATGTGACTTCTGACCTTGCCCACCCCAGTCCTACACCGGCACCTCCACATCACAACTTTAAGAGGAATATTGAGGATTGAGTAGGGAAATGGGATTGACTTTGTTGACTCCTGTGTAATGAAAGAGAACGGATGTGCCAAGTTAAACAGCCTGCTCACACACACACATTGTTAACCAAGTGATCTGATCATTTCTTATGGTACCAAAGTCCTCACTGTACTCAGATTAACCTCTGTGAATGCATACCCAGATCCTCTAATGCAGCAGAAATAATGGATTTTCCACAAGACTGTAGTTAAAAAAATAAATTCTACAGCGTGCAAGCCTCCCAGTCATTAATACAGTCAATCCACTAAAAGACAGGTATCAAACAGAACTTCTGTAACAGAAGGACCAGTGAGAATTAAAAAATAACTTTGAAAATTGAGTCTTCCACTGTCCCAAGGTTACATCTGTCTACATGTTGGGCTTTCAATCCATCTAACACAGACTTAGTTACTGTCTCATAGAAGATTAGAATACCTCTTACCTGCTGTTAATGTCGTTAACCGGTCTTAAACTAATACAACCTGTTGGATAATACACTACCTCTGTTACTCAGGTACATATGTCTCCTGCCAAAGGCTTATTTGTGGTCCGTCTTTCACTGTGTAATACCAGTAGCCCCATCAGCCATTATTAAAAGAGAGGTGCCTAAGACAATAAGCCTACCCAAGGATAACCCTGTTAATAACCAGGTGCTGGGTTGTCACTCCTGTCATGTAAAGAATTCACAGCCAAAGAGAACCGAAAATTAAAAAAATCTGTCCAACTGCCTCATAATGCACCACGACCATCCTCAAAAAGTTACGTTTAGTCTTTCTAAATTCGCAATGTATTGCGGAAATACTTATACAGGCACAGGGTCAAACAGACCCTTCGGTCCAACCAGTCCATGCCGACCATAATCCCAAACTAAACTAGTCCAACCTGCCTGCTCCTGGCCCATATCCCTCCAAACCTTTCGTCTTCATGAACTTATCCAAATGTCTTTTAAATGTTGTAACTGTACCCACACCCACCACTTCCCCTGGAAGCTCATTTCACACACGAACCACTCTCTGTGTAAAAAAGTTGCCCCTCATGTCTTTTTAAGATCTTTCTCCTCTCACCTTAAAAATATGCCCCCTAGTCTTGAACTTCCCCACCCTAAGGAAAAGTCACGTGTCATTCACCTTATGTATCGCCGTATGATTTTATAACCCTCTAAGAGGGACACCTCTCAGCCTACTAGTTTGAAGTGAAAGGGAGCCGTAAACATTGGTGAAGTACAGAGATTTCACTCTCCCTGGCCAGGTTCACTTGGCTGCAGTGGAATGGGTCACGAGGAATGGTAGGATGGTTTCAAGGAGTGCCCCATTAAACTACAGAAAAGAGGAGATGGTTGGAAAGATCACAAAGTCACTCTTGCTGGCTATACCTTTGGTCCAAACACTCCCATCAGCCCGGGGAAACCAGATTCTCCAGGGTCCCCCTAAACTCAAAACAAAAAGAGAGAAAACTTTGGTTAGCGACGCAGACAAGGATCATGTTAGTCATCAGTCACTGGGGGGGCCAAGATAGGACAGTGGGCAAGGACATCGCAGATAAAGTACGAGTTACGAGCATTAGGTGGCTGCTCAAGCCTGTTCCAACATTCGATAAGGTCATGGCTGATCTGACTGTGGCATCAACTCCACTTACCTGCACACTCCCAATGACCTTTGGCCTCCTCCCCATCAAATCTGTCTGCCTGGCCTTTAAAATATTCAATGATGCTGACCTCCACTGTTCTCTGGGAACAGAATTCCACAGATCCTCTGAGAGGGGGAAAAGAAATCACCTGACCTGTATCTTAAATGGGGACCTATAGGCCATAAAGAAAACTGAGAAACTAGTATAATTCCCTCACAAAATTTAAGCCATGATCTGAGTTAGATACAGAATGAACCTTACACTTCTCTGCTAACTTGGGTCCCTGTTGGGCAGCCCATAGTGGGTGATCTCCAATGTAGAGATGATTGGAAAGTAGGCTGGTAGGAGGTTCACGTGGTGCTGGGAATCCTGCAGCGAGTAACTCCCCTCCTGACTCCCCAAAGCCTGTCCACCATCTACAAGGCCCAAGTCAGGAGTGTGATGGAATACTCCCCACTTGCCTGGATGGGGGCAGCTCCAACAACATTCAAGAAGCTTGACACCATCCAGGACAAAGCAGCCCACTTGATTGGTACGTCTACCACTTTAACGTTTACCACTTGCAGCTTTAGCAACAGTATGTACTATCTACAAGATGCACTGCATCAACTCCTCCAGGCTCTTTCAACTGCATTCTCTAAACCCGCAAACACGTAGAAGAGAATGAGAGACCAGTGGCTAAATGGGAACACCAACCCCTGCAAGTTCCCCTCCAAACTACTCACCATCCTTTCTTGGAAATATATCGCCGTCCCTTCGCTGTCGCTGGGTCAAAATCCTGGAATCCCCTCCCTAAGGGTATTGTGGGTCAACCCACAGCACATGGACTGCAGTGGTTCAAGAAGGCAGCTCACCACCACCTTCTCAAGGGGGCAACTAGGGATGGGCAATAAATGCTGGGCCCAGCCAGCATGTCCCATGAGTGAATTAAAAACAAATCGACATGGACAAGATGGACTAGGGGCCCCGTTTTCTGAGCCACATACTCCATGGAGTTTGCACGTTCTCCCCATGTCTGTGTGGGTTTCCTCCAGGTGCACTGGTTTTTTCCCACAGTTCAAAGATGTGCAGGGTAGGTGGACTGACCACGATAAATTACCAATAGAGTCCAGGGATGTGTAGATTAGGTGGGTTAGAGGGGGATGGGTCTGGGTGGGATGCTCTGAAGGTCGGTGTGGACTCGTTGGGCCGAAGGGCCTGTCCCCACACTGTAGGGATTCTATGATTCTATGTAATTGGACATCTCCTGCCTGGGGAGAACTGTATGGGGCTAGAGATAACAAGGTGTAGAGCTGGATGAACACAGCAGGCCAGGCAGCATCAGAGGAGCAGGAAAGTTGACGTTTTGGGTCAGGACCCTTCTTCAGAAATGGGGGAGGGGGAAGGGAGCTCAGAAATAAATAGAGAGAGGAGGAGTGGGGATGGGTAAGGTGGGTGGGATGGTGATAGGTGAGTGCAGGTAGACAGTGGTGGGGATTGGTCAGTGGGATGGGAGGGGCAGATAGGTGGGAGAGAAGGTGGACAGGTTGTGTCAGGTCAAGGAGGCGGGGATGACAGGGAGGGTTTGGATCTGTACTGCCTCCGGCTGGTAAAGACCTTAGGGTCCCCTAAGGATTTCCTGTCCCTGACTCTTACATTCTTATGTTAATCTGTGTTGTAATTCATTTCAGATAGCTCCCTAAATGATTGGGAAGCCAGTATGAAATTCTGCGATTGTTTTTACGACAATATAAGTTCAGGCTCAGTTGTCTGAAGCAGCTGATTTCAGTTGGGGAGAAATGTGTTACTCACCAGTTGACCTTTGGAACCCAGATCGCCTCTCTTCCCAGGTAAGCCCATTCCTCCTTCCATCCCTTTAATGCCAGGAGGTCCTGTCTGGCCCTGCAAGCCTCTCTCTCCCTGTGGCACACACAATGGATGAAGAAAAAGCTCAGATTTACTGAAGGCTTGACCACAATAAACGATCTGCATCTGTTACAGAACCCGATGTACTGTTCGAATAAAAAGCAAGTGATAAAGTTCAGTGATGTCTGAAATGAAGAACACTGGTAAACATAACGATGCAACAGTAAGCCACTTTCAGACTTAATGTTTCCAGCAAATATGTCGGGAACAGAGCTTTATCTTTTATATCTCCCAAGAGACAAGTTTATCTCCCAAGGATGGGCGCTGAGGGTCAACAAAAACTTTCACAATGGAAGGTGGATAGAATGTTGATATTGAAAGCAGAAGGTGCTGGAGGAATTCAGTGTGTGTGGCACCCTCTTTGGAGAAACAGAGTGCAGGAAAAAGAGAGCGAGAAAGAAAGAGAGAGAGAGCAAACAAGAGAGAGAGACATTGCAAAAAAGAGAGAGAGAGAGAGATAGTTAACGTTTCAGGTCGATGATTCATTAGAACTCAAGTGTATCACAAGATGTGGAACAATGGTGGATAAATGAAGTGAAGTATAGGTCAATAGCATCGAGCTAAACTCTATAACCCACTACCAGAGTCTGATACATACAAACATATAAGTTAGACTCAGGATGAGGCCATTCTACCCCTTAAGCTTGTTCTGCTATTCAGTAAAATCAATCTGATTATGCCATATTCCTGCCTACCTTCAATAACCTTTCACCTCCTTGCTTATCAGGAATCTATCCACTACTTCCTTGAAAGTACAGACTCTGTTTTCGCCACCTTTTGTGGAAGATCATTCCAAAGACTTGCTATCCTCTATGAGAAAAAAAATTCTCATCTTTGTCTTAAATGGGCAACCTCTCATTTTTAAACTGTGGTTCCAATTCTTGATTCTCTACCAACAGGAAACATCTTTTACACATTCACGGTCTTACATGTCTTATAGATTGATTTGATTTGATTTATTATTGTCACATGTACCTCAGTACAGTGAAAAGTTTTGCTTTGCGTGCAGTATAGGCAGATCATACCATTCAAAGTGCATCAGGGTAATAGAACAGAGCAAGGAATACAACGTTACAGCTGCAGAGAAGGTGCACAAACAGCGAGGTCAACATTAAATTTAAAATTTTAGAGGTCCATTCAGCAGTCTAATAATAGTGGGGAAGAAGCTGTTTTTGAGTCTGTTGGTATGTGTGTTTAAGCTTCCGTATCTTCTGCGTGATGTAAGAAGCTGGAAGAGATTATAACGGGATGGGAGGGGTCTTTGATTATGTATCAGACTCTCAGGATCTTATGGGTCCTATATCAGACTCTCAGGGT